AGCCGGCGCTCGCCGCGCCCGCCGTACGAGCGGCCTCCGCCGCCGACGTCGTACAGCATCGTGCTCAAGTCGGACCCGGCCATGGCCCCCAAGCCGCTCGAGGTGTTCGAGGTCGAGGCGGACCGGGGCTTCTCGCTGTACGAGGAGGGCGAGGAGGAGGAGACCGAGGAAGGGTGGCAGAAGACGCTCCAGTTCCTGCACACGATCGAGAAGCTCAAGACCAACCCGCGCACCGGCTGGCTGCACCACCGCGTGGCCAAGCCCGAGAGCATCGCCGACCACATGTACCGCATGGGGTTGATGGCGCTGCTGCTGCCCAAGGAGGCCGACGTCGACCTGGGCAAGTGCGTCATGCTGGCGCTGGTGCACGACCTGGCCGAGGCCGAGGTGGGCGACCTGACGCCGCTCGACGGCGTGTCCAAGGACGAGAAGATGCGGCGGGAACACGAGGCGATCCTCTACTTTGCCCACGACCTGCTGGGCAGCTCGGCGGCGGGGCTACGGATCGAGGAACTGTGGAACGAGTACGAGGAGCGCAAGACCAAGGAGAGCAAGCTCGTAAAGGATCTGGACCGCTTCGAGCTCTGTCTGCAGGCCGTCGAGTACGAGAGGCGCGAGGGCATCAACGACCTCCAGCCGTTCTACGAGGGTTCGCTGCCGCAGATCCGCCATCCGCGGGTGCGTAGGTGGGCCGTCGAGCTGGCGAGGGAGCGGCAGCGGATGTGGGAGGAGAGGGGGGTGCGGTTCGAGCAGCCCATCAGGGAGTAGCTAGCGTCACGTTGGGGCGAGCAAGGGTCGTGTACTCGGCGTATCTTGCTGGCCTGCAGCATCGCGCGGCGCGGCGCGGCGGCGTGGCGTGGCGTGGCGTGGCGTAAACTGCGCGACTCGGCCAGGCAGGGCGTCTCAGTTCGCAGTCACGATGCGCCCGATACCGTTCCACCCTATCCGCAACGAGATCATCGTCATGCCCCATCAGCCGCGTGCGCCCGCCAATCATGTGTGTCGTACCAGGGCCAGCCCGTGACGCAGCCTTTGGGCCCGACTTGTTGCCTCACACGCACACTGCAGGTGCAACTTGCTCGTCCGTGCCGGCGTGGCGGAGCGACCTCGATCACGAAGCCCGCCTCGCCTCGACGGTTGCCCATGTAGCGGGAAGGGCTCGTCAAGACTCGGTCAAGGCTCCGATCCGAGCCGGGCCGGTTGGTCGGTCGGGTTGGTCGTCAACAGACACACGTAGACGATCTCGGCGCCTCGTTTGCCGTGCGCGCGTGTGTCTGGTACTTCATGCCAAAGGAGTCCAAACGATCGAAATCGAGATGACGCGCCCTCATTCTACCCATTGTCTCTGTGCGAGCGGCAGCGACGGCGGCGAGAAAGGGGGAAGACATAAGAAGGGCGAGTGTCGGACGGGGTACATCACAACGAGATTGTCGTCGGTCGCTCTTGACTCGGGATTCTTGCCTCCTTTTCGGGCATGTACGCATCGCTTGTTCGGCGTGCGGCAGCAGGCAGGTAGGCGGAGGTCGATGCATGGAGATAGAACTTAACCTCGCCTGCTGGGCCTGGTGGCCCTGTCGATCCCTTGAGATCGTCAGGAGTACCGTACCGTACCGTACCGTACCGTGGCGTGCCTGGCCTGGCGGTCGTTAAACCTTGACGAAGACGAGGGCGCGGTGAGTGGTGACAGACGAGATGCTTCGCGGAGCAAGATGCGCGTAGAACAGCACGCATGCACCGTATGGCCCGTCAGATGAGAGAGAGCGATCGGTAGCTAAGGCTGGGTCTGAGGCTGGGGCTGGGGCCGGGGATGACGAGGAGGCGTGCCGTGATGTCAGGGGGGGCCGGCACGCGCGGATGAACGCCACCGCACACCACCTTAGCTTTTAGCTTTGGACTCTTCCGACTATGTACAGTACTGCCAGGCATTGTCCTGACCGGGCTGATGGAACAGGACGGCAATCAGGCCGACCGTAGGATGATCGAAGAGGCGGTTTGGTGTTGGTGCGACCACGTCCCACCCGTAGGTTGTCCCCCCTTTGTTCTAGCAGACGACCACGACCACGACCACGACGACGACGACGCTGGGATGAATCAACGAACAACACGCCGCAGTACGGAGAAGAGGCTAGGCGGCCGAATTCCAGCCGTCAGGATCCTTCAAGGAGGCAACGACAACGACAGCAGGCGGCCGGCAGCGCGCGAGCTTAGCATGCACGCTACGCATTCAAGTTGGGGATAAACTTTGGTGAGGCAACGCATGCATGCAGTCACGATGCCACGTACGTACTCGTACGTTCGTTGTACCTCACACGCCGCACGGGGCCACCTCGAGAGACGTGCGTCGGTGCGTGTCGTTTGTGATGTTGGGCGCTTCAAGTTTGAAGCACGGCAGGCGACGCAAAGCCGTGGCTGAGGCGCGCGCTGCGCAACTCAGGTTCCTCTGAAGGAGGTAGGGGGGTCTCGAGGGCAGGCAGGGCGGAATGCGTGACCAAGCAAGGAGCCGCATTCAACGACGTCCGAAGGCAAGGCAGCGGCAGCAGGTGCTTGGCTGCTGAGGCGGCACGCGCCGGTGCCAGCTTAGCCTAGCCTGGCCTATATGCTGGCTGTCGTCTTGGACCCTGACGATCATTATTATTTTTCTGCTGCTGGCCCGCAGGCTAGGTGTGGCTCGCCTGCCGGGCTGGCGTCAGGCGCAGAAGGCCTGCCTGCCTTGCTTGCTTGCTTGCTCTCTCTTTCTGCACGCGTGGGCTGCAGCTGCAGCTGGGCAAAGGCAAGGAAGCCCAACGGAGGCTTCCTTGCATCTCGGCCCAACGCCCCGACGTGCGCGCAGTTGGGTGGCGCCCATCCATCCGCGACCTGGACGGGTGGCAACGTAGCCGTTGCCAACGCATGGCGGGTGATATGGTTCGTCGATCGGGCGTCGATGGTGCCATCCCCTGATGTGGACGCATTCAGCGTGTGCTTGGCGGACGCGGAGGCGCACGCCAGCCAGCCCCTCCGTCACGGAGTCGAACCGATGGCGAGACGGGTTCCCAGCGTGGCGAGGCCAGGCAGGGTTCGTATGGTCGTCAGCAGCGATACGATGCGGCATCGGGCGGGTCGAGAGAGAGAGAGAGAGAGGATGGCGACGATACGATGTCGACACGCAGATGGGCCCGGCGGACCCGAAGAGACGGCGGCTGCGCGGCGTTGCCTTTGAGGGCGGGCGTGGAGGCTCCGCTTCCAGTCCGCGCATTCTCTCACGGGCGTTGACATGCTGCTGCGCTGGGTTTCGAAGGGAGCCGTCGCCCACGCAACGGAGTCGAGAGGCCGCAAAGAGAGAGGCACGTCGGCGGACCGACCGCTTCCTTGCTGCTTGCCTACCGACGCCTGCCTGGCTGGCAGGCCGCGTGCAAAGCAGGCCAGGCCAGGCAGGGCTTGGCTCCTGGCCCCGCGCCTGGCCTGGCCTGCAAGCGAGGTCGATCTTCGCCAAAGCGGACGGGCATGGGCCGCACGCATGCCTCGTAGCAGGTGGGTCCACGCACCCCACGCCTCGCCCCCTCTCTCATTCTCTCTCTCTCTCTCTCTGTCCGCCCGTCTCCACCTCGCCCTCTGCCTGCTTGCTTGCTCGACAACAGCGGGGCCCGAGGATCTTAGCCTGCCTACGCACGTTCCGCAACCGCCATCGACGCGGCTGACAGCATGCTGCCTAGCCCGGATCGGGGATCGAGCGCTGCTCTTCAAAGAGGCGGGCACAGGCAGGCCAGAGAGCCGGCCGGCCTGCCGCCGTCAGCGCACCAAGCGCGAGGCCAGGCCTTCGGATCGGATGATCCGCCGTCCGGCCGGCCTATCCGCTCTGCGATGCTGCTGCGCTCATGGGCCCGACGGGTAATCGGCGTATGGGCTTACGCCGACGCAGGCCCGTTCTTTCACAGCACCTACTACGCACGCTCCCCCATGCAGCACAGCCTCTCCTGCCGGTGGCCTCCCGTCGTCGTGCGGGCGAAGAGCAGCGAGGAGCGGTTGCCGTTGTTGCTTGCTGCTTGGTTGCTTGGTGCCTGCTTCTCGTCGGGCTCGCCGCCTCCCTTTCTCTTCTGTGGCACGCACTCTCTCCCTCTCGGGCCGCCCTCTGCTGGAGCACCCACTTTCCGACGCAGACAAATGGCCGGACCCACCCGCCGTGACGTTGGCGGCCGGCCTGCTTGCTTGCTTCCGTCCTTTGGGAGCGGGCGACGGCCACTCGTAGACTGCATGGCTCAATGCCATCGAGCCAAAGCGGCCCGCCACAAAAGCGAGCGAAGAGGTTCCCGGCGCAGCATGCAAAACCGCCGGCGGGCGTCGTGTTGCAAGCTAAGCTTGACGAGGGCCAGCCAACCTAGGAGGCAGGGCTGCAGCGCAGAGTGGCTTCCAGGACCGATGCGTACGTGGACCTTCCACCTACGTCTGCTGTAGAGCTCTCTCTCGCTCTCGCTCTCCTCCCTTCTGTCGGGTCGCCTCCGCTGACCCTGACCCTGACCCTAACCCTGAGCTCGCCTGCCCCCTTCCCAAGTCCCGGTTCTGCATAATCCCTAGCCTGTGGGCAGACAAGAGTTCGGCCAGCTCGACGCAACCTTGCCGATGCCTCGAGCGGTCCGGCTTGGCTGGCTTGCTTGCTGGGTTCCTCGACCTTGGGCCGCTAGCTCGTCTGGCGTCCTCGTCGACGTGCGCCCTCTCCTCTCTCGTCTCTCTCGTCACCACCTCCATCCCTCACCTCGCTGCCCCCGCTCCCAGACTCGACCTCGGCCTCGACCACGACCACGATCCCGACCTCGGACGCGCCATCGTCTGCGACAACCACTTCAGCCGCTCCCGACACCCACTCCAACCATTTCCCACCCACCCCCTGTGCACCTGCTACGGTCGCCACGTCGACAGTCGTTACCAAGGTTCGGCGTTCAAAGGTTGCCACAGCCACGTTCGCCCACGTCAACTGCGGCGCGACAAAGTACCTTGGCTCGGACAATTAGCCTTTGCCTCAGACTCTTCCTCCCTCCGACCTCATCAGCCACCGCAGCGATCTCGGAGGACTCGTACCGCCACACGTCGACACCGCACTCCTGCTCCATCTTGCTCCGAATCGCTGCGCCCTCCAGACGCTTATTGCTCCGGCCCTTCCCTCGGGAACCTCGACTTGCGCTCGCTCCCTGAACCTTGACCGGCCCGGCCCTTCTGCCGTCATCTGATCCATCTCCGACGTCCATTGCACACAACGCTCCCGCCGCGAGCCCATCACTTCGACAGGTCTGGCAGCTCGTGGGGTCTGAGACCTCTTCTCAGCTGATAAGGGTGAGTGGGAAAGCATCGCCTGCCCGCCCCTCGCTCAGTCCCACGTCTAGTCCGAGCCTCAACGTTTCCTCCTCTCTGAACCTCTGGGCGGCTTCCCCTTCCACCAGGTCTCTAACGCGCAGCTCACGGCGTTGACAGACGACCCATTCAGCACCCTGGCCAACTTCAACCCCTACCAGCGTCTCACCTGCCGCCGCCCATTATGTTGGTTCCGCCTCAGCCCGCCTTCCTAGGCCGTAACAGCTCCGGCAGCAAGTTCACGCTCAAGAACGCCTCGATGACTTCGCTCTCGTCGAGCAGCAACGGTCACGACGCCTACGGATCTTGGTCTCAGGACAAGCGCAACAGCTATAGCGGGAGCAGCCAGAGCCACCGCGGCTCCGTCGACGCCGATGCGCGTGGCCGAGAGGCCTTCTTCAGCAACGAGCGGCGCGGCTCCTGGAAGGGCTCGGCCGACGGTTCCAGCGATGCTGACTCTCGCTTCGATGGCGCCCTCGACAGCAAAGGCGCTGCCAACTCGAGACGCTCAAAGTCCAAGGGCACAGGCAGCAGCGGCGGAGGCAACCCAGGGCTCACGGTGGGCACCGGCGGCAGCATCAAGGGCCTCGGCAGGCGCCTCTTTAAGCGCAGCTCGTCGACCAACCTGAACCCGGCCTCACGGTCCCACTCGGCCTCGTCGGCCAGCACCGCGCCGAGCTCGCCCCCCTTGACGCCCACGACGCCTCCTGTGCTCCCTGTCTGTCTGCCCAACGGCAAGAAGGACTTTTTCGGAGACTCGCCCAACCTTCCACCAGTCTCTTTGACTTCGTCCGGGAAACCGCTCCAGTCCCTCAACGAGACGCTGGGCCAGATGGAACCCCATCCGGCGTCCTCGGAGGCCAGCTTCCGCTCACCGTCTTCGTCTCTGAGCAGATCGCTCGCCTCGAGCCCGATCGGCCGCAACGCCGGCCTCTATCCCGACTCTCTCGGCGCTTCCAGTTTCAGTCTGACCTCGACCACGGCGGAATCTTCGCCCGCCTCGAAGCCGGTCACGCTGCCCACACTACCCGAGGCCACCGCTTCCAGGTCCGACGCGCGCAGCAGCAGCAGCGGCGGCGGCGGCCAGAGCAGTATGCCCGCACTGTTCGAGGAGGGCGGGGACGGCGACTCGGACTTTCTCCGCGCTGTTCTCAACTTTGGCGAATCCGAAGGCGACGATCTCGGCGCGTACTCGGGTAGAGGAGGACGGGCGGCGCCCCTGCCGCGTCGATCGAGCTCGTTGTTCACCTCGACGGACTTTGGCGGGGCGGGGGCCTCGTCGTCGTCGCTAGCGTCGTTCAGGTACAACGGAGGCTACTCGACGTCGGCTTCGTCATCGATCCAGCGACGAAACGGCAAGCTGGTCATGACGGAGGCGGCGGCAAAGGAGCTGAGCGCGGGACCCGCATACCGTTCAAAGACGCTGCGCCCGCTCCACGTGCGTCCCGGCCTCTTTCGACGGGACTCTGACGACTCCGAGGACAGCTATGGAGAGGATGACAAAGAGTCCAAGGCTACCTCGCCAATCTCGCCGACGACGCCAATCTCGCCGACCTCGACGGCGCCACCCTCGTCTTTCAAGCAGACCCTGTCGTACTTTTCCTCCCTCGCAAAGAACAAGACCAAGCCGCCATCGCCCCCCGAGCCTCGAGGCAGGGACGCGTCCGCGCAGGAGGATGCCGGGCAGCAGCAGGATGACGAGGAGGACTACGTCGTCCTGCGTCCCGGGCCACCTGGCCTCGACACGCCCTCGAAGCGGTCGCTCTACACTTGCACCCTGCTCAAAGTGCATCCCTACCTGGCGCCCACGCTGGTCCCTTCGCTGGCCGAGACGGCAGGAGGGCTCACCAAGGCCACGGCCGAGTTGCGCTTCCCGCGTTCCATCAACCGCGAGGACGCGCTCCGCAACCACACCAGCACTCTCGGCGTCTCGCGCAGCCTACACGCCGCAGTCGGCAGGACGATCGTCATGCGGAAGCTGAAGAAGCTCTCGCTGCCGATCGAGCAGGAGGTCGAGATCTCGTGGTTCCAGCGCAAGTACAGCACCGAGAGCGTTTCACCCGAGACGATCCGGACCGCGCTCGCCAAGCGCCAGATGGTGAACCCCGAAGCCCTGGCGCGACCGCCGATCATGACGCCGAACCTCTCCGCCGACCAGCAGGGTGCAGGAGGAGTCGGCGACGGCGACTTGGCTTCTTCGCGCCGGCTGAGCGGTATCGTCAACCTGACACCGGGCCAGAAGCTCGCCGCTGCACCCTCTGATCCCGATCACAACGGCATGATCGTGTGGGCGCGTCGGCCGGGCTTCCTGCAGCGATGCAGCGTGACCTTCGCCGAGGATGCTTGCCATCCGGGAGATGTCGTGCTTCCAGCGGCCATGAACTTCGCCATCGGCGTCGGCACCGTGTTACCCGTCGTCAAGGGCTCGAAAGCCAAGCCACAGCCAATCTCGTTCTCTCCACGAGTGCGGCTGCTCGCCGGACTGCCCTCGGTTGAGGAGGAGCGTCGCCTGCGCGCCCCGGTGCCTTCCAAGTTCCGTAGACGCGAGGCCTCGCAAAGGATCTCCCGCGCATTCGCTGGCGAGCCCGCGTACAGGGGCCGGAGCCGGCAGGCTTCAGCCGGTGGCACTGACGATGGACGCCCTTCTCGGGAGCAGAGGCCGAAAGAAGCCCACAAGAAGGCTCCAGCGCCGTGGCTCGCGCCGCGCAATCCGCAGCTGCTGGCCCCGGGCGCTTCTGTACCCCGGTCGCCATCAAGCAGTGCCCGGTCGCCTAGTCTCTCGCCGAACCTCGACCGCGATCCTTCTTCACGCGCAGCGCAAACCAGGACGAGCACCGGTTCGGCCGATAGCGCCTCGGCCGCGCTCGCAGAAGGCAAAGAGGCTCAGGATGGCCAAGAAGGTGACAGCGATGCTGAGAGCGAGGAAGACGTGCCGCTCGGCCAGCTGCGAGACTTCCGCGCTCATCGAGCCGCCGAGACCGAGCGCATCCAAAAGCTGGAAGAGGAGATCGCGCAACTCAGGCTCAAGGAGCAGATCCGTGAACGCGAGGAGCTGGAGCGCCGCGAGCTCGAAGAGCGGACTCGGAGACTCGAGGAGGAGCGGGTACTCGAGGTCCGAAGGGCGCGCGAACAGGCTGCGATGCAGGAAAAGGCAAAGAAGATGCTGATCGAGGCCAGGGAGCGGCGAGGCAACACGCGACAGTCGGTGCTGCTGTCGGCCGCCAACTACGGCGCCGGCAGCCCGCTGGTGGGCCCTCAGCCTCGTCTGGCCAAACAGGCCAGCAACTCGAACTTGACCGCCGAGACCGGTCCGGGCGCCACCTCAGACAGCCGCACCCGCAAGCTGCGCCACAGCTCCAGCCTGGCTCAGCTGTCTCCGCAAGGGGTCGAGGCGGCCTTGCGACCCGACAACGGCCTCTACGCCGTTCCGGAGCACGCCGGTTCCCGCGCATCGTTGATGCCGCCTGCGATGCCGGCGCAGAGGGGCAGCATGATGTCGCTGGCGCCCCATGCAGCACAGGCATCGACGTACGCGCAGCAACAGGCCGAGGCGAAGCGCGCATCCCTCGCACCACCGTCGCCAGTCCAGCCGCAGCAGCGCCAGTCGATGCGGGCGTCCGAGACAACGGCCACGCTCTCGCCTCCTCGAAGCCCCAACGCGGCGGCCTTCAACGCGACGCCCGCTACCGTGATCCCGCCGGCGAGGAGGACATCGATGATGCCCATGGCGCCCTCGTCGCCCAACCTTCACGTCTACGGCGGCGGGCATGCGACTCCGATGCACTCGATGAGCATGACCAACCTTCAGGCGCAGGCCTACCTCCAGCAGCAGCAGCAGCTCGTCCAGCAGCAGCAGCAGCAACAGCAGCACATGCATCTACAACAACATCAACTGCAGCAGCAGCAGCAGCTGTACGCAGGCCATCCCGGCGTCTCGCAGACGATGAGGGTCAGCAGCCGACCGGGTCGCAACTCGATGATGCCCCAGGCACCGCTGGTCTCGCTCTACGGCAATGCCATCCCGCACTCGGCCTCGCAACGACCCGGCGGCTGGGTGTGATGGCGACAATCCTCTTGCGCCTTCGCATTCCCCATCGCGGGAGCAAAGAACGTCGTCAGAACCGGCACGGGCTGGGAGCGGAGAGGGAATCGCCTCTGAGCTTCGCCTGCTCTACCTAGCCCTGCGTCGTCGTCGTCGATCTTTAGCTCCATCTCCGTCTCCGTCTCCGTGTCTGTCTCAACTCCATCACCTTCCCCCATCTCCCCTCTACTCAGAATCGCACGCAGCACCTGCCTGCTCTGGGTTGACACTCTCCCCGCAAGCCTCCCTCCCTCTCTGTATACCCACCCTTTTCCCCCTCCCGCCTCGTCCAACTGTTTTCCCTCCACCCAACTGTAGCATCCCATCACCTTCCAACCGTCCCCCGGCCTGTCATCCAGGCAGCGAACCGAACCACACTCCTTGATCAACCGCTGTTGCGCAAATCGACGCTCTTTGCATTCAAAGCCCCTGGACCGGACCAGCCCGTCGTCGAGCCGTGCGGTCGCCTCTGTCGAGATGAACAGGGGATGGGGCAGCCAAAAGCCCGTACAGATTCCACGTCGCCAGCGCCCTCACAAGGCGACAACTCTCACGATAGGAACCAGCTAGCGTTGGCGTACCAGCTGAGCAGCGGGTTGCTGCCATCCTTGAGCCTGACGGCATCGGTCTCGGCATACCTCTCTAGGAACTCGGCATGGCTGTAGAGCTTGACGTTCTTGCGCCCATGCCCGTGCCCGTGCACGTTTCCGAGGTGGGCGCCGGCAGCCGTGGTGGAAGACGTCGTCTTGCCCCGCGCGACGGCCGCCGCCGACGCCCGACCCTCACCCTCGGCAGACGAGGATCGGGTCTGCTCGTAGTACGAATAGCACGAGGGAGTGAAGTAGTCTTCCCTCAAGCCTCCTTCGTCGTCTCGCGGCTGCCTCGAAGACGCCGCCGACGACGAGAGCATGATGCGGTTGTACACCTCCCGGAGCGTGCGGAAGTCGGTGGGGAAAAAGATGTCAAAGTAGCCCTGCAGCACCATATAGGTGGTGACGGGGACCATGGTGCCCCTGAACCTCGTCTGGACCACGGGGGCGTCTACGCCCTCGCACGCGTCCGGCAGCGAGTCAAAGTCGGAGACGACGAGCCGATGAAGCGGGAAGTGTCGGCGGAGCACGTCCATCATCTGCAGCGATCCCGTTGGCAGGTAGTGGGGCGGCGTGAGGTTGGGGTAGAAGGGGAGGTGGTTGGCCAGCGTCGAGCGCAGTGAGCTGGGGATGTAGCGGAGCAAGGGCGAGGATGACGCGGCGAGCGGTAGGGAAGACGTTGATGGGTAGATGGATCGCAGGAGGTCGAGGTAGCGTTGGATCAAGGGATCCGACACTGGCTCCCACAGCTCGTGCATGTCTCCGGTCTCGTCGATCGAAACCAGCGCTTGGAACGGCTCCAGCGTCGATGTCGAGTATCGCACCACGTCATGCGCGAGGTTGTCCTGTGGTGCCGGTGACGTAGGGGACGATTGTCGCGTTAGTGGGCCGAGAGCTGGGCATCCGATCCCGGCGGCCGCCTGGTCGCCACTCACCAAGACCTCGAGAGCGACGACAAAGCAGGGCTCGGGGACGTCCTCGTTCCACTCAAGAAAGCTGCGGTTGACGACCTCGACCGTGCCCCGTTCAACGTGCTCCACGAGCCTCCTTTTCTGCTCCTCTGCCAACCTTGTCGAGATCTCGACGATCCTATACCTTGTCCGCCGGTAGATCTCGGGTTCTTCGGCCATCAGGTAGTCTAGCACGTCGTGAGCCAGCGCGCCAGATCCAGCGCCGAGCTCGTAGACGACTAGGTCGTCGTAAGGGTACAGCTGCAGCTTGTACTCGGCCACCAAGTAGCGGGCGATGGCGCGCGCGTAAAAGGGCTGAAAGATCTGCGTGGGCGTGTGCCAGACTTGCTTGGCCGCCATCGTCTGCACTTCCTTTTCCTGGACGCCTTCGCTAGCTCTGCGGGCCAGCATCCTTCCTCTGAGCTTTGCGGCCTCCAGGCCTTCTGCCGAGTAGCTCGCCGCTCTGGCGGTGGGCGACGACGGGGACGCCGTCGAGGCTTGATCCTGACGACGACGTCGCCGTTCCTCGCGCTCGCGCAGGGCGAAGCGTTCGCTCTCTTCCCTTTCGGCATCTGCCTGCTTTTCCCTCTCTCGCGCCTCGACGACGTTCTCGACCTTCTCTTCGAAGTCCATATATCGCTTCTCGACCGCGCGCATGAATTCGGACTCGTTGGCCATGCTGCCGAAGTCGAAGCGCTCGGGCCGCGCCATGGCTGTCGGTGTTGCTGGTGCTGCTGCTTCCGTAGCTTCGCCTCCTCTCCCCGTGCCAGCGGGTGTGGACGAGGAGACCGAGGCTCTGTTGAGTGCGTTCTGGCCTTCTGGCAGTAGCACCGCCTGCTTGCTGAAGTACCCATAGTGCGGGTTGTACAGCGAGTCGTGGATGAAGTCCCTGGCAAGCATGCGCACGCCTCGAGGTCGTTCCGATGACTTGGCCAGTTCCGCTGCGGTGACGAGCGGATAGCCAAGGTGGGAAGACGACGGATGAAGCGTGAAGGGGTCGTAGTTGTACTGCGTGCGATGGCGGTTCCACTTGTCTTTGCCGTCGGCGTCGCCGTGCTCCGGCTCAGAAGATGACGGTCGATTCGCGCTAGAGGCGAAAGAACGAGCTATCGGTTTGTTGGCCGAGGAGACGGAAGAGAGGAAAGTGCCGCTCGAAGACGATGGCAGCCTTGAAGCGACGGTCTCTTGTTTGGGCCATAGGACCGGCCGTCTGGTGGCGCAGTTGCGCAGCATCGCCGACGCGCTGCCGCCCAGATGGAGACTGCAGCGTCTGCACGACATGCTCTCGATCGGTCGTGCAGCGGAACGAGGTTGTGTCGAGGATGGAAATGGCGCTGAAGTGGTTGTTGGAAGGATAGGGAGGAACACGAGACTTTCTTTGTTCCCGAGTGGCGCGGTAAGGCCATCAGGGTCTGGCCCGTTCATTCTCGAGCTTGGGTTCAATCTCGTGCGAGAGCAGCACAGCAAGTCGCGTGCCACCAGGATTGTGCGCCTCTTCGCCTTCGCCTTCGGAAGAGCCCAGCTCGGCGTCGATGCATCAGGACCACGCCTTCCGACCGATCGATCGACTACCAACTGCACTACTGCCATGTGAGGCGGAGGAGTTCCATGTCACCCACGGCCAATTTTATGCCCGATAGGAGGCTTCATCACTGACAGACATTCTCGCCGCTGTTCTCTGTGACGACGTCCCACCGGTGAAGTAACTAGTGAGCGCCACAGTGGGCCGACCCATCAGCATGTGTATGGCAGTCGGCCGCAGGGAATTCAGCCGACGAAGGGGATTCTGGTTCGGGAGCAGGATCAAGGCCCTCGTCTTGAGCGGGAGGCGCGGCACCAGTAGCCTCGATATCAAGAGCGCGATCCTCGGCGGCGGGCTTCCCCAGGCATCCTTCCGGAACCACGGTTCGCGAGTAGGCATCGAGAGCGAAGAGCTGTATCGACTCTTGGTTCGAAACAGCGGCGCTCGCGTTGGATCTAGCCAGCTCCAAGACCTCGGCGAAGCCATCGGCGACGTGCGAAATCTTCCCGCTGACTACCTTGGGCACGTGAAACTGATCGGCGCGGGACCGGCAGCGACACAGCAAGAGGACATGGTCAGATGCGGCGGATCCTTTGCACAAAGTAGCTCCCAGCGCCGTACCTGCAGCTACGGGCCTGTGGGCGGACAACTCACCAGGCGGTGCAGGAGATCAGCACCCCAGTATATGGCGGCGCTGTCGCGGGCAATCTGGTACCCAAAGCCACAGATCTGCTCGAGGGGGCGTCGGGTGTGGTAGGAGTGCTCGCAGATGACTGTCTCTTGCGTCGCGTTGTCGCCACGCCAGTGACCCGCCCATCCAGCCAGCTTGCAGTTGCCGTCGGGATCGTCGCAACGGAGCACGGTGCCACTCTTGTCGCCCTGAAAAAGGGGGCTTCGCTCCGCGTGAGCAAGGTCTTCGGGACGTCCGCCCCCTCGACACCGCCGCGGTCACTCACGTGAAGGATCTCCTCCAGGTATCCAATGACGGGAGCAGGGTCGGCTTCGGCGCCAAAGTACCTGACGAAGATGGGATCGATGGGCCCGAAAGCATGGATGCGTTCGACAGAGGCTCGAGCGAGAAGCCTCATGTCTTCCAGTCCCTTTTGGATCTGAGCGCGCTGCGTGCCGTTGCAGCTGCTGTGGATAGGGACATTTACCAGGAGGCCGGCAGGGCTGCCCATTTTGTCGGCCGGCGCGGTTGGGGCCGAGCTGGCATGGTCGATGGCAAGAGCGAGCAGAAAGATGCGTGAGGCAGTAGAAAGCATGGTTGCGAGATTGGTGGACGTTGTTCGGGGCCAGGTCCACGGTCGAGGCGAGTCCCTCTTTTAAGGGTTCGTGTGCAGCCTTATGGGCCGACCGACGTTGTAGCTAGGACCGCTCTGGTGGCCGGGATCAAGAGCAGGCTGTGAAGGGCCTCTGAGGCCAAGCAGAGCGTTTGCATGCCAACGGCATCCTTTGCCTGTCGGCTGGGCTCGCCGAGAAACTCGGTGATCCTCAGCGGACCGGCGAGGTGAGGAAGCAAGGGTCAGACCGTAGCCATGCACTCGGCGAAGCCCCCTTCTGGCGTCTGCTACACCGCCAGAGTGCAGGTGTGGCCCGTTGGTGCACCCATGGCGGTCGCCGGGGGATCTCTTCTTGGCGGTCGCCGGGGGACCTCTTCTTGGCATTGTCGCCATGTCTTTTTCTCCGGCGCGTCGCTGTGTGGGGCAGCAAGCTGGATGCTCCGTTGCTGTTGAAAACGAGCGAGAGCATGCACGCCAAGACCTTCCATCCCGTCGAGAGTTGCGGGAAGGATTGGCGGAGAGTGGACTGAGAGTTGGAGCGTTGCGAGCGAAGTACAAACGAGTTAAAGAGACTCAGATCTGCGGGGGACCTTTGCGGTCATGAGCGCGTCTGGGAACCTCGTCAGTCAGTCGGTCTCGAGAGGCGCCGATGCTCCGTGAATCTGTACATCGACAGGGACAAAAGCAGTGCAACAGCTCGCTTCATCGCCATCTGGCGCCTTGGCCAGCAACGTTGCCGGCCACGGCTGAGGCTGAGGCGATGTCCTTGCGCTGAACACGATCCCCTCGTCCGACCGTGCAGACGTTGGCGATGCGTGCCAGGTGGAACAGCCAATCTCTGCGCTGGAGGGCACTCTTGACCCGGGCTTCGCACCACGGCCGCGGAGAAGTCTGCAAATGGAGGCGATTTGCACGTCGATCCGTCTCGATGACAAAGAGGAGGTGCCGGGAATAGTACAAATCGCAGATTAGGCCATCGCGCGCGGTCAGGGTGACCCAAGTGCGCACTTGGTGCGCAATGCAGGCACAACGTGGCGCCGGAGAAGAGGAGAGCGCGTCCCTCGGGAGACGTTTGGTGCTCGAGTTCCGTCTGCGGCTATGGCTTTTGGGGTTCTCTGTCCGTTCACCGGTCGAGACGGCAGATGGTCGTGTACCGTCTCCCTCAGGCGACCGCCGTTTGCGGTGCGCTCTCCTCGGCAGCGGCACCTGCGCCCTGGCCGGACTGGGCGCCGGTAGCGTCCTCTTTCCTCCTGTCTCCGCCCTGTCTCGCTCCACCCCGTCCCCCGCCGCGTCCACCTCGTGCACCCCCGCGTCCACCGCGGCCGCCCTTGTCGTTGCCATTCAAGTTGTGGGAGTGGGCGGCGTTGGCAGTCGGAGGATGAGCCTTCCTGTCCATCGCTGTGCCCATCGCCGACGTCCGGAAGGTGAAACCCCGCGTCTTCTCGATGACCGTCTGGTAAATGGCCGGCGGCGTGGGGTTCATGTAGACGGTGCCCTCCTTGAAGTCGATCTTGGCGTCGGCCCGCGTGTCTCGGATGAGGTTGACGATCCACTTTTCGCCCTCGGACTGCGACAGGTTGAGGCGGGCGGCGAGATCGCTGCCAAAGGGACCAAGAGGGAGGCAAGGGGGTGTAGGCATGGTCAGTCTCTGAAAGAGGGGCAGGCACACGGCATCGGCATCGGCGGGATACGTACGCGATGTCGACCTTCTGGTGAATCTTGCAGTAGGCCTCGGAAACGACGTATCGCGAAGCCTCGACAAACTCGTCCTTGAACTCGCCAAGGAAGAAGTCGTTTGCGGCGACCTTCTCGGCCTGGCCGAGCTCCTGCTGGGCGGCCTCAAAGTCAAAGTCGACGAACAGCTTGATGAGGAAGTCGACGATGGGGTCTTTGCCGCCGACGCGGTAGAATTCGGTGTCGACGATGCGGACAATGTCCTTGAGCGCCTGCTGCGGGGTGACCTTGGACACGCCGGAGGCGGCCGAGGCCAGCATCGAGGAAGAGGTGGGCTGCTGGACCATGTAGACGCGGGTGGTGCGGCGCGTCATGACGAGCGCGGCGACGAGGTATCGGAGCAGCCACCAGCACGAGGTCTGGATGGTGTTGAGGTAGACGGGCGAGAGAAACATCTCGACCAGCTGCTCGCGGCCGGCAGGGTGGTTAAAGAAGACAAAGAGAGCCCAGTGAAGGAGCCAGGATCGCTTCTTGAGGAGCCCCTCCTGAGTGAGGTCGTCGGTGGGGCTGGCGGTCGAGGTTGAGGTGGACGGGCGGTTGTAGGTCGAGGTGACGTGGGCGGCCGAGGAGTCGATCTGCTCGCGTAGCAGCTTGAGCTCCTCGAGAGCGCGGTCCCACTCTCCGGTGAGGATGTCGCTGGCGAGCTTACCCCAGTGGGAGCTCATGGTGAGGACGGGGTCGGTGGACAGGACGCGGAAGTGGTAGAGGTAGGACGAGGCGTCGCCGTAGTTTCCGCAGCTGAACTGGAAGTAGCCGTATCGGTAGAGGGCGTTGATCTGGTCGACGGTGAGCTTGTAGTTCTCCTCGAGCCACTGAAGGTTCTGGGCCTTGTCCTGCTTGAGGGCCGAGACGACGTTGGGGTCCTCGATGACGTTGAGTACCTGGTCGACCTCGCTGCCTAGCTTCTCGTTGAGGGCGATGGCATTGTCCCTCTGCTTTTCGAGCTCTGCGGGGGCGGACTGGTCCGGGTAGGCCTGCTCGTGGAGCTGGAGGGCGTAGTCGACCATGGAGGTGTGCTTGGCGAGCTCATACTGGGCCTTGATGATGTCGGCCTCGGCAAAGAGGCCGGTGGTGCCGAGGTGGGAGAGGAGCGGCAAGCCGAGGTGCCTGTCGAGGTACGGCAGGAGCGACCCGGTGAGGTCGTGCTTGTCGGTCATGTCGGACGGCGTCGACCAAGCGGCGAGGGGCTAGATGCCGGGTAGAGGGCTGGGTCTGGGTCGGGGGGGGCCAGGAGGACACGTCGAGGCGGATCAAGACGGGTACCGGTCGGAGTCGGGGATCAACACGGACCGTCTATGGAGCAGAACCGGGGGTCTTCAGCGCAGGGACGGGTGTGAGGCGGTTCAGCCAGAAAGGACGGTGGCCGGCTGCTGGGGGGGAGGGGGGGATCGGAATAGAGGCGAGGACGAGGTGATGTGGTGTGGTGTGGTTGGACGGCGGTGATGGCGAGCGAACCCACCGCCTGGCTTTTCCTTCGACAGGGAAGCGACCGCCTAGTTAGCCTGCCTTGCGCGCCCGCTCGCTCTAACCGCTTCTCTTTCGCAGAGGCCAGCAGAGGGCAATACAAGCCCATCCGCTTGGATTTTTTTTTTTCCTTCTTCCAATTCGACCCGTTTAAATCCGGAGTGGCTGGCCCCAATTACAAACCCTCTCGAGCGCCAACGCGCTCCTTGCGAGGCTCCCCGGGCCTGCCTCTTCTCTCTCTTCCTTTACGAGAACGGGGCAACATCCATGTTGGGCCAGACCATGGTGAGCGTCCGATCAGAGCCTGATTTACAGCCCCTCGATGTCGACCAAAGGATATCCTTGTGAGCACGAGGGTCGCCTGGAAGGCGCCTGCTGGCCCAAGAGAGGCCTCGTCGCTGGTGGGTGGGCCACTTGTCGACCCCCTCGCTCTCCAACCGCCGCAGCGCCAGGGTGCCGGGAACCGGAACACCAGCTCCTCTTCCTGAATCGGAGCCGAGGCCGCGGGCAGCTAGAGAGGAGTTCGTAGTGGAGGGATGTGAGGCCGTGCGCCCAGACGTCCGTGCTGCTCGTCGTTGCCACCCGCCCCCGCTCGATCGACCATTACCATCCGTCCGAATCTCGTTTTCGGAGCATCCCCTGCTGCCGCCGACGAATCGACCCACGGATCTCGCACAAAACCTCGAGCCTCCCTGCTTCCTCACTTCAGCCAGCTCGAATATGATAACGCGATCCAAGTCTGCCCTGCCGGCTGCTGCATCGGCAGCAAAGGCAGCGACCACCACGACCACCACGACCTCGTCAACCAGCAAGTTCTTCAAAACGTCAAAAGCTTCGCTCACATCCCGTCCGCTGCCTTTGGTTTCGACCACCGCGCCCGACATCAAGGCGCGCGGCGCGAGGCGCTCCAAGTCCGACACCTCGCTTCCGTCCGCACCGCCAGCCAAGAGGCCGCGTCGGGCAACGCCGTCGCAACCTTCCACCGCCGCCGCCCATGTCGAGAGCAAGATCGAGATCCCAGACGTGTCCGATGCCGAAGTGCTCGCCCGCACCGTGCTCCCCTACCCTACGCTTACCTTCTCGCTTGACGAAGCCACAGCCCACCTCTGCAGGTGCGACCCACGCTTTCGGCGCCTGGTCGATGTGGTCCCCATCCGTACCTACGAGGAACTGTCGCGCGCCAACGAGGCAGAGCGCAAGGAGCTCGACCTCTACCGCACGCTGAGCACCTCGATACTCGGTCAGCAGATCTCGTGGCTGGCAGCCCGCAGCATCCTATACAAGTTCTGCCGCGTATTCGACCCCTCGATGCCGCCCACGCCCGACTTTGTGGCCCACCCGAGGGAGACGTGGCCGTTTCCGACGCCGCGGCGGGTGCTCGAGAACTCGGACTCCAAACTTCGCGAGGCAGGCTTGTCGTATGCCAAGATCAGGTACATCAAGGACCTCGCGCTGCGCTTCTGCGACGGCCGGCTGGACATCCGCGAGGTCGTTGGGCTCGATCAGGAGGCCATCATCCAGAAGCTCTGCGAGGTCAAGGGCGTGGGACGATGGACCTCGGAGATGATCCTGATGTTTGCCATGAGAGCACCCGACATTTTGCCGGCCGGCGACCTGGGCGTCCAGAAGGGCATGATCAACTTTTTCCTCAGTGGCAGAGAGGGTCCGAGGATCAGCGTAAAGAAGCGCAAGCCCGTCCCACCAGAGCAGCAGCAAGAAGAGGAAGCAGGGACCAGCCAGCCACAAGGCAGCGCGGGTACAGGGATGGAAGCATCCGCGGAAGCAGCGGAGGAGACAATCGTAAAGGCCGAGAGCAACGAAGGTGTCCAGCAGCAGAGCTGGGCCGACGAGGCTGACCTCGCCATACCAGAGGGCGAAGGTCTGAGCCGCAAGGTGCTCGAGATGCGGCTCAAGGGCAACAAAATCAAAGGTCAGTACCTCACACCCAAAGAGATGGACTGCCTCGCCGAGGCCTGGAGGCCCTATCGAAGCGTGGCGTGCATGTACATGTGGGCGCTCGTCGACGCTTGAATCGAGATCTTGGATGAAATCTAGAGATGGCCATCGCTCGGATCGGCAGCCGGCTCCGTGTCGATGCCGTGGCGCTCGGTAGGCTAGCCTGCCGCTCTGGACGAGACCAACATCAGAGGACCGACTATCGTGACCCAAAGACGATGCGGGGCGACACCCTCGACTGGCAGGCCCTGGCTGTGAGGGACGGCCCGACTTTGTAGCCGGCCATCCGAGACGTCCTCTCGTACGAGAGACCCCGCCAAGGGTGATCGCCGTGGCGGGGCCCATTCATTTGTACTCATCCGAGGCACCCCGCCTTGAATTCAAACCCGGTTGCATGGCTTTGAAATCCAAGTGCCCTCTTGGGTCGCAGCTCGGGATCAGGGCCACCGGCCGCGGCGGCTCGACCCGCAACACCTCCAGCTCGCGGCTTCCCAACGTCGAGGCATCGTGGCTGGCCTCTCTTCGATCCTCACCGACCATCATCCTCACCGACGCTTCCTCCTCGCTTCTCGTCCACTCAGCGCACCTGCACCCTTCCTTGCTCGAGCGGCGCCCGCCAGCAGCCTCCCAATCCCGCATCCCAAGCACGTCGCTCTCACCATGCTGGCTCTCGCGGGCTCGTCCAACTCGGTCGCCTCGATCGCCGTCCAAGCGGCACGAGTGCAGCTCCGCAACGACCTTGTCAAGGCTCAGACTCGCAGCGTCCACGACCTCACCATCAAGCGGAAGACCGGCAAGCCCATCATCCGTCAGGGCCCCTACGGAGGCGGCCGGTGAGTAAGGCTACGCGGGCACCACGGGCGGCCTTTTTCCCCTTGCATGGTCCGCCTGGGCCACCGCTCATCGCACTGCCATACCCTTTGCCCCTCATCTGCCCCGTCATCGACCACGTGTCAGGTCGTCGGTCTCTGGTCATGTCGCCACCGTGTTCGGCTGCACCGGCTTCCTCGGCCGCTACTTGGTCAACCGTCTTTCGCAGAAGGGCACCCAGGTCATCGTCCCTTACCGCGACGAGGACGAGAAGCGCCACCTGAAGGTGATGGGCGACCTGGGTCAGGTCGTGCCGCTCGAATGGGACATCCGTAACGACCAGCAGATTCAGGAGTGCATCCGCCACTCCGACACGGTCTACAACTTGACGGGCAGGCAGTACGAGACCAAGTGAGCACCTCGCACTTGCTGGCGCGCGCCCGTCGTTCCCATCTGCGGGCCTGCGTGGCCTCAGTGCGATGCTTTCAGCGCGCACTCTTACTCACCTAAGCTCTCGCTCTACGCACGGCACGCCTTCGCTGCTGCCCTCGCTTCCGCGGCCTTCAGGAACTTTTCCTTCTCAGACGTCCACGTCACAGGCGCTCGCCGAATCGCCGAGATGGCAGAGGCGCTGGGTGCTTCCCGCTTCATCCACGTCTCTCACCTCAATGCCGACAAGGATTCGCCGTCCGCCTACCTCAGGTCCAAGGCCGAAGGGGAGGAGGCCGTCAAGCGCGCTTTCGAGGGCGCCACCATCGTCCGGCCCGGTACCATGTGGGGCCACGAGGATCGCTTCCTCAACCAGATGGCCGGTGAGTACCGGGTTCGGCCCCTGGCGGGAAGGAAGGTCTGGCTCGTTGCGGGACACGCCGCCGTTGATGGTGACTGACCCCCCGCACGATGCGCCGTCGCCTCGCATTCACTCGCCTCCCTGCAGTCTACCCGTACGCCTGGCGTGTCAACCATGGCAAGACCAAGATGCGCCCCGTGCACTCGATCGATGTTGCCGCTGCGCTGGAAAAGATGATGGACGCCGACGTCACCTCGATGGGCCAGACCTTCTCGCTCGGCGGTCCAAAGACGTACACGATCGGTCAGATTCTGCAGCTGGTCGAGTCGCTCACCTTCCGCCCGTTGGTCAAGCCCGGTTTCAACACTCCTAAGATTGCACTGCAGACAGTGGCACGGATCGGCGAGCTGGCATGGTGGCCCATGCTCAACAAGGACGAAGTCATCCGAAGGTACATGGACGACCTTCCGGACGAGGCCGGCACCAAGAGCTGGGCGGATCTCGCCATCGAGCCCGACACGCTCGAGGAGACGGCAATCGTCTACCTCAGGAGGTACAGGTCCGCCACGAGGTTCGAACAGCCCGTGCAGACTGGCGGCGCCCGGCTCAAGAAGCCCAAATACCAGGTCCTCGAGTGAAATCGCCCCTGGCTCAGAACTTCGCGCTCCGTACTTAGATCCTTTGCAACATGATGATCAGGCCGTCGTGCCGTGCTCACCGGTCTTGTCGCCGCCTCGCTCAGAGCGCGATCGCAGCAGGTCCTAACCAGGCAGGCTTCGCGGAGCCTACCATTTCGGGAATCGGAACGAGCAAGGCTCCCACTCGAGCTCGCCCTCGACAGCCTGCGACCCCTGCGCGGTGAAAGGCTGGCGGTGTGCGGACTGTGTCCGAGGAAGGGAACAGTCATAGCTAGCGGCAGGGATTTAGCTACGGCCCCGGGAGTCGGAGACCTCCTTCGTACCCCCAGGGCCGTACTTAGCCGGTCTACATCTTCGGCCTTTGGGCCGTAGGACTCCTACGCTCCGCAGGGCCGCAGGACCTCTACGCACCAAGGGCCGTAGGACGGCGTCGCTCCCACAACGCAGGCATAGCACACACCCACAGCCGTATCCTATCTACAATCTCATTGCAATACTGTGCTACCTGCAAGGGCAGCACCAATGGCGGTAGAGCAAGGTGGCAGCAGGGCAGCAGCAGGGCAGCAGCAGGGCGGCAGCAGGGCAGCAGCAGAGCGGCAGCAGAGCGGCAGCAGCGACAGCGGCAGAGCATTGTCAGCAGCAAAGTAAGGCGGTGAAGGAGAAGCATGCAAAAGGAAGAGGGGAGCAAAGGAGTCAGCAATGGCGTGCAGCAGAGCGGCAAAAGAACAAGAGGAGCAACAGACAACTCACACATGAACCGTGAGCCTAACAATGCTGCTGCATGCTGCTGAGCATGGTGTAAGGGCAGCGCAGAGGCAAGGAGTGTTAGGCCCTTGGGGTCTTGGGATACAGCGGGCGGCCGAGGACGGTGTTGGGCTTGCGCGGAGAGGTCAGGGATGAGGAGGAGGAAGGATATCGATGCTGCACCAGTCTCTAGTGGTAAGAGGATATAGTACATTCAACAAGGAGACCATCAGGGGCCTCCTCGGGGACCTAGGGACTTTATACTGGCCCCCTCGAGATCCCCTTGTGGCCGAGGGACCGGCTGCGGCAATTGCCGCTCGGCTCCGCCGCCCGTCAGCCCTTCCTCGGGACTCGGGAACCCGCAGGGCATGTTGGGCAGCCGCCTAACAAGGATCAGCACGGCAGGGAGGCGAGCTGTCAGCAGGCAGGGTAGAGGACTCACCAGAGTGGCAGCAGACCAGCGGCGGAGCAGAAGCAAGGCCGTGAATGGCCAAAATTGTTGGAGACTTCAGAGACACCTCTCCAAAGTCTCCGACAATTGACGGCGGCATCTGGCAGCCGCAATAGCAGGGCAGCGGGGCGGAAGCAAGTGGTCAGGTGACTTTGTTTGACTGGCAGCTGCTGGCTGGCTGTGTCAGGTGGCTACTGGCTGGGCAGGTGGCTGGACTGACGTTTTGGGCAGCTGGTGGGCGCTGGACCTTGCTGGGCCTCGGTAGCGGCTGGCGGCTGGCAGTTGGCTGGCTGGCTTGGCTGGCGGTTGGTTGGCTGGCTGGGCTGGCTGGTGGTTGGCTGGCTGGCTCAGGTGATGGCTGGCTGGCCTGAGGGGGCAGGGCCAGGCAACTTGCCAGGCAACTGGCTGATGGCTGGGCGGGTCCCTGGCAGCTGGCTGGGCGCAATAGGAAAAATTGGGAGTCACATTTGCTGCTTGCTATGATTGCACAGGCTGTGCAGTCCAGAATTTAAGAGTCGTTATACAAGTGCAATCTGAAATCCTGGCCACTATGAGTGGAGTTCAGGTTGCAGGCAGGAAAAAATTTGGGCTCTCAGATTGCAGCTGATCGCACACCTGGTGCGCTTCTTAGAATTTGCACAAGCTGGCTGCAGCTGGATTTTTAAATTGTTATACATGTGCGATTCATTGGACCAGATCCTGCTGCTAGCAATGCTTGTAAGGCCAAGAAAAAGATCCTTTTTGCTTATGTCAGCTCAGGAGACCAGGCACGCATCCATGCTGGCCCCTCTGCCGCCCAGCCCTTTGCAAAATCCATCTGCCGCCCACCCACCAACATTCTGTCCTACCACCACCACCCGACGCCACCCGCCAGCCAGCTGCCAGCTGTTGAGAAAAGGGTCGCCTCCGCCATTGCAGACCCTCAGGCTCAAACCGATGACATTTGGTGCAAGGTTGTCAGGACTTGGCCCAGGTCACCGGGCCTTGGCCAGCAAAGAGGCCAGTTCCTGCCAATGCCAACCCAGTGGGAATCATGAATCACCGAGTTGGGATCCCACAACATCCGATGTTGAGGGAGTACACACCTCATAGATGAGGTGAAGACCGACGCCCCAAGATGCCGGGGCCAGCTGAGCCAGAACATCTCTGAGGAGCGTGACCTGACTTGACCTGCCAAGGCAAAGTGAAGTCTTGTCAACACTTGATCATAAAACTTGACCAGAAATTGCAAAGGGACAATGACACTCCAGAGGTTGCTGTAGCTAGTAGATAGATGCGCAAGATTGTGTCAAAGCTATAAGTAGAGGGAAAAACCTTTGGTAGATAGTTGTCCCTCATCAAATCTCATTCTTTCCATCCTCCTATCTGGTTCAGCGCCACGTACTACCTTCCCTTGATCCAAAGACAAAGCTAGACGCTACTCTGTCCCATACCTACCAGACACACGCCAAGATCTACCCCACGTGATTGAGGAGACGCCAACGTACTCAAACGCGACATGCTCACGCCAAGCTTGACATGAGTTGATTCATAGCTAGCAGCAAAAGTAATTCCCGATTTTCCCTATCGCACAGGCTGTGCGATCCAGAATTTGGGAGTCGTTATACACGTGCGATCTGAAATCCTGACCACTCAGAGTGGATTTCAGATTGCAGGCAGGAAAAACTTTAGGATCTCAGATTGCAGCTGATCGCATGCCTGCTGCGATCTGAGGAAATTGCACAAGCTGGCTGCAGCTGGATTTTCAAATCGTTATACACGTGCGATTTTTTTGACCAGATCCTGCTGCTAGCTATGATTTGGTACTGATGGTACTGACTGATCCACCGTGTGTTCCTAATCCAATTTCTACTCCTTTCTACACCAGCCAGTCTCCTGCACCACCAGTCACCAGCCGACAGCTGCCGGCAAGGCCCAGCAAGGCCCAGCCAGCCAGCTGCCCAAGCCATCAGTCATAGCTAGCAGCAGGGATTTAGCTACGGCCCCGGGAGTTGGAGATCTCCTTTGCGGCCCCAGGGCTGTACTCAGCCACTCTACATCTTTGGCCTTTGGGCCGTAGGACCCCTCTGCTCCGAGGCCCGTAGGACAGTGTCGCTCCCAGGTTTGCAGGCATAGCACACACCCACAGCCGTATCTACACTTCTACTATTCAATTGCACTACTAATACACTCTCTACGCAAGCGCAGCAGTTCCAGAGGACTATGCCGCAGGGATGGCGTGAGTCCAGCGTGGACAGGTGGCAGCAGGGCAGGACCGCGGCAAGGTTCATGGTTGGCGGTTTTGCAGTGTTGGCAATATTGTTGCATTGATGGGAAGGGAAAAGCAAACAGGAGAAGCAAGGGGGTCAGCAACGGCAAAGTAGTGGCAGGCTGAGAGGGACAAGGAGCAGCAATCATCGCTAGCAGCAGAGTTGGGCCCAATTTTGATTGTAGGCAGGCCACGATCTAAAATTGCTGATTGATCCCTATCTTCAATTTTTCTGATGCGTAGCCTGCCTACAACTAGCTACAATCCAAAATCAGAAATTGCGCCTACCTACAATCCGAGATTGTAGCACCACCTGCCTGCCTGCCTGCCTTGCCACCTTACGGCCGCGTCCCTGCCACCTTTGCACCGACAATCATCGGAATCCTTGGAGAGCTCCTCTCTGAGGATTTCGATGATTGATGGCCGCTCCGCTTCCGCTCTGCAGCGAGCAGTCAAGCTGGCTGGCTGGCTACCAGGCTAGGGCGCGCAAGGTGGCTGGCAGGCTTGGGCGGGCTGGCTGGATTACAGGCTTGGGGGCTAGCACGTTGGCTGGCTTGGGCACGCAAGCTGGTTGGCTGGTGCGGCTGACTAAGCTTGCGCGCCCCCCAAAAAGAAGTGGAGGCCAGGCCACGCCGGAGGCCAGGCCACGCTGTCAGGCCCTGTGTGTGCTCACGCAGGCTCGCAGGCTCGCGTGCATGTGTGCACGCAGGCAGGCAGCCTGCCTGACCGCCCGCCCGCCAGCATGGCCTCGCCTGCCCACGTGCCTTGGTATAAAGTCTTGCCCACTCCGCTGTCGGTCCGTCCCACCCAACCACTACCATTGACCCTCGCCCGCCATTGACCCTTGCCTGCCATTGGACCTTTGCCTGCCGCCACCACCTGACCGCCATCAACCCTCCTTGCTTGCCGCCATCAGCCCAATCAACCTTGATGCCACCAACAAACATCTGCCCCAGCTGCCTCACCCCGCCATCATTGACACCAACTTGCTGCTACCACCAACGCCAACTTGCTGCCGCCGCCCACGCAACAAAGAATTATATATCGCTAGTGTGAGGCACAAAGCTGTTTGCACGCAGTTGCTATCTGCTGATCTCAGGCGCTGATGCCAATCTCTGCTTGCCTCCTGCTGCATTCACGACAATGCCACCTACGGACAAATGCCATGCATCATGGCAGATCATTGGCATGTCAGCAGGTGAGTTGCCCTTTCCAATTCCGTTGCATCTCCTGCATTGATTGGCGATGCTGACAATGCTCCTGCCTTTCTCTTTCCGTCTCACCAGCAGCCGCCAACACCAAACCGGCGCCAACCCCAGCCTGCCCTTGCTGTGAGTGCCTCCTTGCTGGTGCAGGTGCTGCCGCCAGTTGACAATGCTGACGATAGCCTTGGTATCTGCCTCATTACCTCTTTCTGCTCCCTCTCTCCACCTCCATTTCCTACTGCGCTCTGCAGTTGTTTGTTTGCCCTGGCAGCGGTATTGTTGTTCTAGTAGCATATATACTAATCTTGCATGCAACTGAAGCTAGTATGGGGTTCAATTGATTGTAGCCTGCATTTCTGTCATATCCAAGCTACGATCCGAAAAATGTAGATAGACCGGCCTAGCTATGATCTGAAAATTGTTGACAGTCATAGCTAGAGGTAGGCTTTTGGCCTACAATTTTGGAAATTGTAGGATTTGTACGATATGGCAGTGCCGTAGGAGATTGTTGATCCCCTACAGCACCAGGTGCCGTAGGAGGACCTACGGCACTTTTGGCTGTAGGCCTGCCTTTGCACCCACAGCCGTAGGTATTCTCAGGCATTGTATTGCAAAATCTATTACACTAATGCGGTGCCAGCAGGCAGGTAAGGTGAGCAAAGAAGGGCAGTGGTTGGCCAGGGCAGCGTGATGGCAATAACATGGGTCAAGGATGGCGGCGGCAGTGCAGGGACCGGCAGAAGGGTATAGCAGGCAGAATGCAGGGCCAGTTGCAGGGCAAGCCACGGAGAGTCGATGTGCGGCGGCGTGGCAACAGCATTGGTGAGTGGCAGGGCGAGCAGGCAAGGCAGGAAGGCAGGTGGTTGCATGCGGCGGTACAGCAAGGTGGCAGCAGGGCGGCAGCAGGCAAGAGCGGCAAAGCAAGGTGATGAGGGAGCAGCAGGCAGAGTAAGGGGGGAGCAAAAGAGTCAGCAACGGTGTGCAAAGGAGTGGCAGACCAAGGGAGACAAGGAGGGGTGGTGGCAACTCACTTGTCACGACAGGGCAGTCAAGCAGAAGGCGGTAAGAAGGCTGTCAATGATCAAAATCATCGGAGACTTTGGAGAGGCCTCCTGCGAAGTCTCCAACAATTGATGGCAGACATAGCTAGCAGCAGGATCTGGTCCAATAAATTGCACATGTAACAATCTAAAAATCCAGCTGCAGCCAGCTTGTGCGAATTCTCAGAAGCGCACCAGGTTCCTGCCTGCAATCTGAAATCCACTCATAGTGGCCAGGATTTCAGATTGCACTTGTATATCAACTCTCAAATCCTGGATTGCACATCTTGTGCGATAGGAAAATTGGGAATCACTTTCTCTGCTAGCTATGAAGGTCTGCGGCCAAAAATGGCGCAGGGTAGGGTCGGTCCAGGGCCGTGGGGGCCCTACAGCCAAAGATGCTGTAGCTGCCCCTCCGAAAATGGCCGTAGGTGGCCCTACAACCCCGATTTCTGGTCGTAGGGAGACCCACGGCCATTTTTAGCGTAGATGACCCCCGATCTCCCGATTTTATGCTGTAGGTTAGCCTACGGCCAAACACTAGCTGCCCTTCGACGCTAGCTGTGACTGGTCTAGCTACGATCTGAAAATCGTAGGCAGGGTACGACCTAAGAATCCGCATGGCTTGCCTGGATCCAGAAATTGTTTGTGTAGAAGGATGCCCTACGATCCAAAAATCGTAGCCAGGGTACGCCTACCTAAGATCCCCCAGATCGTAGGTAGGCCCTGCTGCTAGCTTCGAGGGTCTCACGTCCATGCTCTCACCACGACTCATGACTCTGCCTTGGCGACTGCTACTCTGACTGCTTGCACTGCCTTGCCTACCTCTGCCACTGGCCGCAACTAATCGCAGGTAGTGTCCAAGGCATAGGGTTGTGCGTGCTAGACAGGGCTACGGTAAGTGGTGCAAGAGGCTCCTGTGCCCTGACAGCCGAAGGTCACCTACAGCCGCGGGGGTCCGCAGGTGTAGGAGGGGTTTCTACGATCTCCGAAATCGTAGGAGACCTACGCTGCCAGAGATCGTAGACCAAAGTTCTCCAAGCCATGGATCCTGCTTGTCTTGGCTTGGTCACGATCGCGACGGAGAACGAGCCCACTGCGGCGATAGGCACGCTTGAACTTGGTCTCAAACACGGTCCGTCCCCGCACTTCTGCTAGGTACCGACTCCCAAGGGCCAAAGGGCCAAAAGTACGGCATCGATCATGCCCCTTATGGCAGAGCCATGGCATCGCCCGTTCGCCAAGATTGTAGCTCAGCGCCAGGAATCGATGGTCGGCTGCTGTAGCACAGCTGATACGTCTGCAGCATGCGCACCGAAGCACGGCCTGGTGTCCTGAGCGATACGGCGCTGCTGAGTCGCTGGCATAGCGGACACGGCTATGTTGGTTTGCGCAAACGTTAGGCGTGATGAAAGGAAGTTCGGCAATGGTGGAGCAGATGCTTCTAGTAGAGCCGCGGGGCGGGACCGTCGGTCATCTGTACCGGCCATGACCAGCCATGGCAGAGCTTGTGTAGGCGTTGGTCGAAGTGATCACTACGAGTCCGACCGCGGCGGAGCTATCGATATGCGTCAACAGCGGCGTGATGGGCATACTGACACTGCTGAAGCCGTTGCAAGCTGGCCGACCGCATCAAACCTCTCTGGAGCACCGAGCAGACGAGACCGGTCGAAAAAGTCGATCGAGCGCGGCGCCCGGGCGTCAAGTGAAACGAGTCGGATGAGTGTGTCGAGCAGTGAGCTGCTGAATATCAGGGCGAGGGTCGCATCAGGTCGTCTGTGATGGGGGTGGGGCGATGTGAATCTTAGTGAAGCAACGAGGGAGCAGCGACGCACGAAGCAGGATTGTGAAGCTCAACGACGGGTGGAGGCGTGGCGGCCCGAGAAATGGTAGACGTGACCTCGGCCGAAGCTTCTGACTGCGGCGTTGCTAAAAACAATCGGCTCCGAGGCTGGGACCTCGGCTCCGCGCGGATTGGACTTCTTGTGCGCGCGTTGTCGCCCTGCCAGGTTCTCGCCACGGCCTGTCAGAGACCGAAGTGGGCGGCTGGCCCTGGAAGCGGGCGGGGCCGCTGGTCGGGTCTCTCAGCCCAGAGAGTCCCCGCCATTCCGAGCAGCTCCTCCTCACCACCAACCCTCAAGACTCTCCTCCCCGCCTTCCCCTGCCCAGCCAAAACTACACTATGGCGAACTCTTCCAACCCTGCTCACAAGGCTGGCGTCGCCAGGACCGGTACGTTGCGGCCCCATCTGCGACCTCGGCTTCAATCTCCCGACTGCTCGTCCAATCGCATCCAGCCACCGATTCGACCACCGCCGACCCGACCTGTGCGATGCGGCGCCTCCGTTCGGGAGACCTCGAATCTGCAGGATGGCTTCGCGATGCAGGTCGGCGATTGAGAGAAGATGCTGGAGGAACATAACTTGGCGGTGGGAGGAGCGGGATTATGGACCGACAGACTAGTTCTCGTCTCAGTGGACTGGCATCCGTTGGGCCGGCCCCGGATTGAGGAGGTAGATGGCGGATCTGCGGTTCGGATTCGTAGCAGCTTGGGTCGGGCCGAAGTCTCAGGTCCAAGGTCCACGACAGGCAGGTCGTATCTGCGGTGCTGACCTTTTGTCTCCTGTCTCCGATCCTGTCTTTCTGCGAACCAACTAGGTCTCGTCTGGGGTATCAACCGTGGACACGTCACCGAGCGACGAGTCCTCGCTCCTCGCCCTGCCAACCGCAAGGGCCGCAAGAGCGAGCGTGTCGAGGTCATCCGCTCCGTCATCCGCGAGGTTGCCGGTTTCGCTCCCTACGAGAGGAGGGCGATGGAGCTCATCAGGAACTCGAAGGTGAGCATCTCGACCCCTCTCCACGCCGCACACACGTCGCGCCGCGATCGCACTCGCTGGGTTGCGGTCGTCAGCCCCTTCTGTGCTGCCTTTCCACGACTCGGTTTCAAGCGGGTCGGACTGCTTAGCCAGTCCTGCCAACGGCCCGCTGGCTGTAGGACATTCCTTTCTGACCGTCTCTCTCTTCCTGATCCGTGTTGGCCACTCTTCAGGACAAGCGTGCGCGCAAGTTCATCAAGCGCCGTGTCGGTACCCTCCGACGTGCCAAGAGCAAGATGGAGGCTCTCACTGCCGTCATCGCCGAGCAGCGCCGCGCCGGCCACTAAGCGCTCCTCTCTCTTCGAGGTCTTTTCCCGCTCAGCCGAGCAAGGATGAAGGACGCTCGGTTCGAGTGCCGGGACGACGCGACGAGACCACATCGCGGCGCTACACATTTGTGGCGCTCTCGCTGGGATGATCGTCTCGTCCGCTGGTCGCATGTATACTTTTCTGGCTCCTTCCACACACTTCGCACGCAAAAAGGGCGCCCCACAGCGGCGCAAAAAGCCAAAAGCCACCTCTTCGTCCCTCGTCAGCCCCGGCCCCAGGCTGTGAAGCTGCTGAGCCTCCCTACTACCCCGCCACTGCCCCGCGTCTGCCCACGCACACATGCACCATGCACCGAAAAGCTAAGGCGACAAGACTCTCGTCCGGCGTCTTTTTCCCTCACGTTCTTCCTCTTTTCACTGGGCGACCAGCGCTGGTCTTGCGTCTGCTTGGCACGTTGTGCACAGCGCCCGTCGGCTCGAGAGATCGCTGCACTGAGGGACCCTGTTGGATGGTTGGTGTGACTGCTTCTAACTACTCTCCGTGCGCATGGCGCGGCGCGAATCAATTGAGGCCAACCTCGACAACCGGCGGCAGTGTGCGGGCGAGCTTATCGTCGCCGGCAGGGAAGGGGAGCTTCTGGACTCCCTGCGCGAGGTAGATGGAGTCGTCCTCCTTGCCCGTCAGCGCTTCGCCCGTCGGCAGGCGACCGCGTCGGAAGATCTTTTGCGCCTTCCACGCGGGGCGTTGCGCATCCACCAGCGTCACGGGAGCCCCCTCGGGCCCTGGAACGTTGCCCTTGACCAGAATCGTCTCGTTCGTCGAATCGACGCGCAGCACGAGCAAGTCTGTTCGGCGGTGGGACGCGGTGCGAGGGGGTGTGTGGGTGGGGCGCGGCGCGAGAGCCAAGTCAGCATTCTCTGACCAAGCGCAGACAGGCCCGACGGATGGGCCCGACTCACTGTGGATGGTGCTGTGCTTGTTCCCTCCCATGCGGCCGGCCATCTTCTTGCCCGGGTAGACGCGGCCTGGATCTTGCGAGTGGCCGGTGGAGCCATGCGAGCGGTGCGAGATGGAGACACCGTGCGATGCGCGAAGGCCCTTGAAGTCCCACCTCTTCATGACACCCTGGAAACCCTTGCCTCTCGTGATGGCGCGGACATCGATCGATTGGCCGGGGACAAAGTGCACAGCTGACAGCTTGGTGCCTGCCGCCGAGAAGGATTTGAATGTTCGAGGGGCGGGATGGGTGGCGGGGTTGAGCTTGCGATCCACGAGCCTGCCAGGAGAGCGGGGACGAAACGCCACACGAGTGGCACTCACCTAGTGGCACGATGGCATCCCGCGAGACAGGGAATTCGCGAATGACCTTCTTGGCCTTCTTGATGTGGGCCTTGCGCAGGTGACCGAGCACCTGCCTGGTGATGTGATTGCGCCCCTTGGCATCGACGGCGGCCACCTGGATGGCCGTGTAAGGGTTCTCGCTGGGATCCTTGTCGAAGCCGATGTGGGCCGAGACCTGGTTGGTGTGGACCTGAAGAACCGTGGCGGGGATGCGTTCGCCGTTGGGGAGGAAGAAGGAAGTCATGCCTTGCTTGATGGCAATGAGGCCGACGCGCTGCGAGTTCGGCGTCCACGCCGACGCCTGTACGGTCTGCGTGGCCTTTTCAGAGGCTGGGGTCTCCTTGGCGGTGGACGCCTGCTGGGCCGGCTGTGCGAGGCAGCGAGGGGCGGACGTGTGGAGAAGCCTCGACGACGAGGCCAAGCAGGGGACTGAGGACGAAGAGGGGACGGTGCTGCCGAGGCGGTGTGATGGCGACTGCGCGGGCCGGAAGCCGCCGACGGCTGACGAGTGGAAAGATGAGGGGGCGCGCTGGCGGACAAGTTCGAGAAGTACCTGCCTGTGGGCGACGGGCGGTCGAAGGGCCGACATGATGTGTTTCGTTGGCGTTGGCGTCGACTTCGGCGCAGAGTCGGGGTTCGGTCGAGTTGATGGTATATGGCTGGAATGCGTAGGTGCAGATGCGTATATATGAGTGAGAGAGAGAGAGAGAGAGAGAGAGAGAGAGGAGGAGAGACGCGAACGAGTACGACGTAGGCGGACGACGGACGACGACGACGACGGACGGACGGACGGACGGAAGTAGGGTAGGGGGGAAGGGGGTAGTCGGTCGGGTCGG